TTGGCCATTTCCACCTTTCTGCCTCTAAGTTTGCGCCATGCACAGAAACGTTTATTTCTTTTTAGTGCGCCACGTGTACTAGCTATTGCACTCTTCAATTCCTTCGGTTCCAAACATTTTTTTATGGTTCTTTCTCCACCATTGTCAGCCTTTAGTCCCAAAATAAAGCCTTGTAAATCCAATTTAATTGGATAAAATGTTACTTTATTCATTTTTGTTTCTTTTCTGAATGCTTTTTCATATGTCCTAAAAACTCTATAAATAGGGTCTTTGTTAAGTGTATTAGGTTGTTGACTTTTAGCCTAAACTTAGATACTTTTTCTCTCATTGTCTTGCTTTCATTCTCGTACTTTCTTTTTATAATTTTGTGGGAATTATGTGCAAGTTATGCTAGAGTTCTTGGGTGAGGCTAGAGATGATCCTATATGTGTAGTAAGCTTGTTTGGGTTTTGATTCTCTAATGGTTTGTAAGTTTTATACATTTGAGTAAATAATTTTCTTTTATCATATTTCTTCCTCGTATCAATATATTTTATTGTCAACTTTTACATAAATCTAGTCAAGCTCTTTTTATATGATTGTTGCATGATACTATATATTGGTAGACATTATTTTATGAGTAGTCATTTCTACAATATCACCCTGAGGTATATTGTCGCTTTTTGATTTCTCATAAGATAATTTTTTCTAATACTAAACATAAGAATTTTATTTACTTGAAAACATTTTTATTCACAAGATCTTCAAATATTTATTTTCCGATTGATTGTTTAGGAAGTGAAACTTTTAATTGAGTCGATTTATGAATCAAAATCGAAATAGGTAAACAAAGCATATAGCGGATTCCCAATGTCTTACCACTTTTAATTATTGAATTTTCTCCATTTTATATTGCATAATCTTCAAATTAAATTGTTTTGTACACGTTTGGGCGTAATCAATGAGCATTTTTCAGACTGTGTAACTTGTCTATAAATTAAAGCAGAACACCAAAAACCTCCGGGAGAATTGCAACCTTTACCTGTTCCGGGATGGAAATGGGAGCATATCACCATAGATTTTCTGATGGGACTACTGAGAACTGAGCAAAAGCACGATGCCATTTGGGTGGTGGTGGATAGGTTGACGAAATCTGTACATTTCATACCGTTCCGTGTGACGTATTTCTGAAAAATTTGGGCAGAGCTGTACCTGGAACATATTGTCAGACTTCACGGGGTGCCATTATCCATCACATCCGATCGTGATACTTGTTTTAATGTAAGGTATTAGAAAAGTTTTCAGGAAGCCATGGGAACAAAATTGAGTTTTAGCACAGCATTTCATCCTCAAACTGACGGGCAATTTGAAAAAGTTATTCAGATTCTGGAGGATATGCTTCGTGCTTGCATTTTGGACTTTGGTGGAAACTGGAGGAAATATCTTCACCTTGCTGAGTTTGCTTACAATAACCACTATAAGACCAGTATCGGCATGGCACCATTTGAAGCTCTCTATGGGCGACCTTGTAGATCACCTGTTTGTTGGTTGGAACCAGAGGAACGACTTACTACTGGACCAGAAGTTATTCAAGAGAATAATGAGAAGATAACTCTTATTCGGGAACGATTGTTAACAGCTCAAAGTCATCAAAAGAGCTATGCTAACAGAAGGCGTAGACCTTTGGAATTCCATGAAGGTGACTTCGTTTTGTTGAAGGTTTCCCACGCAAAGGAGTTGTTCATTTTGGTGTAAAAGGAAAACTTGTGCCAATGTATGTTGGACCATTCCCGATCGTGCAACGAGTTGGTGTCGTGGCGTATCGTCTGGCTTTACTGCCTGAGTTATCTTACATGCATGATGTGTTCCATGTTTTCATGCTTCGTAAATGTCAACCTGAGCTGAAAGCCGTGGTACAATGGTATGACGTTCTAATATAATATGACACGACATAGGAGGAAGTGCCAGTTCAGATTCTTGATCGGAAGATGAAGAGTTTGTGTCATCATGAGATCCCATTAGAGAAAGTTCTATGGCAGCACTATGGAGTTGATGAAGTGACATGAGAGCTTGAAACGACAATGCAGGAGCAGTTTGTGTCATCATGAGATCCCATTTGAGGTAAGTCCTAATTTCGAGGACGAAATTCTTTAAGGGAGGTGGAGTTGTAATACCTTGAGAAATTAAATGAGATTAATTAAGATAATTAAGATTTATTAGTGTGCCTAATCTGATTTAATTAAATAATTATGTTCACTAAATATTTCTGACGTGTAAATTTAAATATTTCCATGGAATTTAAATATTTTTAGTAATTATATTTTCACCCTAGAAGTGTGTATAAACACATTTTCTAGACTGTCTTTTTAAATATTTTGACACCTATCTTTTTCCTTTTTCTCCCTTTTTCTTGTCTTTTCCCCGTGCATCACTCTTCCTCTCTCTGTCGTCCTCACTCTCTCTTTGCCTCTCACTCTCGTTCTCTCACTCTCTCTCCCTCTCTCTCTTTCTCTCCTATTTTGCCAAAAATCAATCGAATTTTGAACCATAGATGAATTTCAAGAAGTTTTCAAAGTCAAGAGAAGGATTTGAGGTAAGATTTCTAAAAAAACTTCTCTTGAATCTCGGATTTTTCAGTTAGAAAACCTATTTTTAGTTTGAAATGGATTTTGATAGATTTTGAGTAAAATCATGGTAAAAATTAGGGAAAATTGGTTCTATGGACATGATTTAGTAACTAGAACCAGGATTTGGTTGTTTCCCTTTGAAATATTACAGATTTGAACTCGGATTTGCAGGTTTTGGCCAGATTTTCTTCAAATCGACCCAGTCGGTCGAGCTGTCTGGCTCCCACAGGTCGACCGGTTTCTTCTCCACTAGCCGACCGGTGGAGAACAACCTCTTTGTCACCGGTCGACCGGTGTACACGGGATTTGACCCTACCGGTCGACCGGTGTACACGGGATTTGACCCTGTTTTGTTAAAAAAAAAAAAACCCTGTTTTGACCCTGATTTGCGAAGATAACTCAAATTAGCTTCATTTGGGGATCTAAAGTAGATGGATTACCATCTTTAATCCATGTTTTGAGATTAAAACCCTTGGAATGATTATTTGAAACATGAAATAATTTATGAAACTGGAAATTGAATTATGGCACACTAATAGGAAATCAAGGTGTATAATTGAGATTGAATTGCTTTAGGAATAAGAATTGGATCCTAAAGTGTTGCTTTGTATAAATGCTAGCCGAGGAGTCGAATTGAAGGCTTTGAGGAAGCGGAAGCTGGAATAGTGCAACGCTAGTCACAAGTTTAATGCTTAAGAGGTAAGATTCCTTATCTCTTTCTTTGATAGCCTGTTTTCAAAAGAGTTTTGGCCTTACAAATGTTTTAAAGAACGGGCATGTTTGCAAAAGAAAAATATTTCAAGACAATAGCTTGATTTAAGCTATTGGAATTATAATGAACTATTTCAGAAAGTTTAATGAATGATTTTTAAGATAAGAGATCTTGCGAATCGGTAAACCAGCTGATGGCCTAGATAGGATATGGAGAATGTATCCTTGGAGGTGGGACCTAAAACCCAGACCGGGCCATTACGGTGGTGATAACGCTTGTGCTTGTGGTTGCGTAAGTAATTTATCAGAGGATAAATTACTTACTGATGCCTGTAATACAGAAATTTTCAGTTATATTTCCTTTTAGAAAAATGATGTGAGGTTTCGGCTGTTGTATTAGAACTGAATATCCATATTTATTTGTTTATTTATTTATCTTCTTATTCATTAATTTATTACTTGTTTATAAAGTTTATTTCAAATTACATCCTACTGGGCATTTCGCTCACGTTTTATTTATTTTATAAATATTAAACCCCTCCTAAGCGACGCTACAAGCAGTGCGGAGTAGTTGAGTTAGTTGCCACCGTCCAATTAAGAGAGGATTGTGTTCATCATCCCAGTGTACAAATGTAAGGATTGTAAATTCTTAGAATGTAAACTGTAAATCTCTAGACTGTGGTTGATGTCTGTAATGTTAATTAAATATACATGTATGTACAATATTTTATATCCTGTGGGTAGACACTGAATGCTGCCGGAGGCTTAGTTTTTAAACCTCTTTCATCAGAAAGTGTGAAAGTCCCCATCACTTTCTTATAATTTATTTTTAGCTAAATGTGGGGCTTGTTTAGAAATTTCTTTCATAGTTTACTTTTGATTTTGATTACTATGTTTCTCAATGTGTAATTACTATCATAATCATGTTTAATTTCTAAACCAGCATGCACGTCACTAACCCCTGCTTTGGGGCGTGACAAAGTTGGTATCAGAGTCTTAGGTTTAGAAACCACAGGATTGTACATACATGCGTGACATCAGGAATCCACTAAACAGTCTCGTTTCTTTTCAGTTAAAGGTGATGTCATCGCGTTGTAGGTCAGTTAATCAACCGGCACCACAGAATCAAGAATTCATGGATGCTGTGTATGCTGCGTTTCAAGGGATGGCCACTCGAGCTCAGAATGAGTGACCGGCCGAGGATAGGAAGCAGAATTATTTTTGTGAATTTAGACGGGGACCTATCCCCACATTCAGCAGTGAGGGAGGACCCCAGGAGGTAGAATATTAGTTTGACTCCATAATAAAGCACCTGAATACTATGGGAATACCATGGGAATACTATAGGAATACTGGGGGGAATTTGCGGTGTATAAGCTGGAAGGCCAAGCGAATACTTGGTGGAAGCAAGTGAGGAGAATGTATGATGTTGCGGGAATCATGTGGGATCAAAAACTGGTGGAGTCTCTACGTCACTAACCCCTACTTTGGGGCGTGACAGAGCCTCTTCTTTTTTCTTCTTTTTCTTTCTTCCTTCAAAACTGTATTTCGTTTTCAAAAACTATGGGCTGCGCCCACTGAAAAAACCAATCTTTCAATAATGGGCTCCGTTGAAAACCATCACAAGACAATGATCAACTTCATGCTATATATTTCGGCATTGAATTAATTCATATTCTACATAATTCGCTCTCCTTTTCTGCACTATTAGCTTCTTAATTGGTACCATTAATAACTAGCACTTCAACTATAATCTCTTATATTCACACACACAGAGAGAGAATTAGCCAAAAACATTAACATGGCTGATGATCAGCTACACGTTGTGATGTTTCCCTTCTTTGCATTTGGTCATGTTAGCCCTTTCATACAACTTTCCAACAAGCTTTCCTCCCATGGAGTTCGCATCTCTTTCTTCACCATCCCCGGCTTCATTCCTCGAATCGAAAACCTACTCATTCCATCGCCTACCACGCAAATCATTCCCCTCCAACTCTCACCATCTCTAGGCCTCCCTCCCGACATCGCGGGAACATTCGATTTGCCTCCATCCGAGGCCATCAAGCTCATTACAGCCATTGATCTCACCCAACCTCAAGTAAAATCCCTCCTTTCCGACCTCAAACCGGATTTTGTACTCTTTGACTTTGCTCAACACTGGCTTCCCTCTCTAGCTTCTGAGCTCGGCATCAAGGCAATGCTCTTCCTAGTATTCTCTGCCATTGCCTGCGCGTACGTTGTTGCCCCCAGCAGGCTTGCAGGCGTAGATGGAAACCCAACTGTTGATGACCTTAGAAAACCTCCACAAGGGTTTCCCATGAGGTTGGTATATATTGCTTTTTGGGAACTCCAAATTTTACTGTATTTTATGTTATTTGATTTAGTTTATCAATTCTTCGTAAAACTTTGGTCATTAGAATACTAAATTTAGCTGCTTTGTATAAATAGTCCAGTTTTGAAAAGAATTAAAGGATGCGAATATAAGAATTGATTTACGAATTCTCGTTCAAAAGTTTATGGTAATAATTAAGAGGTACGGTCTACATAGAGTCTCTTCTTCTTCTTCTTCTTCTTCTTCTTATAGCCCTAAAAAATTAGGTGATCATGGTAAATTCATAAAACGAATGGAGAAATTATTAAGAAAATAATATTTTTTACATTGTTAACTGTATTAATATTTTGATTTTATTTGTATTTGATTTTATATAGGAAAGGTAGCTTATGTAATTTGTATTTATATGAAGTGCTCTTTATTAGTGAATTCTCTCTGATATGTTCCTCCTTCCTGAATGTAGTCATATTGTCAAATCACATTGAGTCTTTATCTTCTCTTCTACCCTTTTATTTTCTTATTTAATTATTGTTATTTTCTTATAAATACAAGTTGCATGAATTACAGAATATTTTAAGTTACCTAACCATCAAGATTTTCCACTACGAAAATAAATACAAATAAAGATAACAATGCATAAGACATTAATTTTTCCAAATAGAAATTCCCAATCCTAATAATTAGTTGAGATAAATATGTGTAGGCGAGAAATAAGACAGTAAAATAGAAGACTTTTTTTTTTGAACTAGAAAAGAAAATTACATTTCGCCGTCAGGGTAACTATGACAAAAGCCTTACTTCACTTGGATTTTGGTCCATAGGTAATCATCATCCGGACACTAAAATATAAGACTTGAGTTTCGATTACTTTGTTTTTATATTTTTAGTCAGTAACACGATATTTAATGCATACATCCTCTATTTATTGAATAAAACAATTCGGTGTCTCCATGCTGGTTGTGTTTTGTGAGGTTCGGGCATGAGCGTATTGCAGCCGATCACTCCGGTCTGATCAAAACATTCCAAGCTCGGAGCAATTTATTCCTTTACGAGAGCTTCGACGAGAGTCCAAATAATTTCTTTCGAGTTCAAGAAGCCTTTAATAGCTCAAGCGCTATTGTTATAAAGACCTGCTTTGAAATGGAAGGTTTATATCTAGATTTCTTGAAATCCCAGATACATAAACCATTCATATTAACCGGTCCCCTCGTGCCAGCCGAGCCACCATCATCTGAGGTACTCAATGATGAAGATTGGACAAAATGGTTGGCTCAATTTTCGGCAAAATCCGTCGTTTTCTGCTCCTTCGGAAGCGAAACGTTTCTTACCAAAGAACAAATAAGTGAACTAGCTCTAGGGTTGGAGCTCACAGGTTTGCCATTTTTGTTGGTGTTGAACTTTCCTGCAACAGTCAACGCTGAGGCCGAGCTTAAACATGCACTACCGGTAGGCCTCTTAGAAAGAACAAAAGAGAGAGGTCTTGTCCACATAGGATGGGTCCCACAACAACTTATCTTAGGACATGATAGTGTTGGTTGTTACCTTTGTCACGCAGGGTTTAGCTCTTTGATAGAAGGTCTTGTGAATGATTGTCAGTTGGTGCTTCTGCCTATACAAAATGACCAGTTCTTTAACTCTATGCTCATGTGTGAGAATGGGATTTTGGAGGCTGGGATTGAGGTAAACAGGAGAGACCAAGACGGCTATTTTGGGAAAGAAGATATTTTCACCGCAGTGAAGACGATTGTGGTAGAGGTTGAGAAGGAACCTGGCAAGTCGATTCGGTTGAACCAAAAGAAGTGGCATAAGTTTTTACGAGAAAAGGATGTTCAAGAGAAATTCATCTCGAATATGGTTGCGGAAATGAAAAAAATTCTAGTTCATAACCCTTTAGTTGATTGAATGAAGATTTTCTGTGCCCTTGTTGTTGGATTCAATTTGTGTAAAAAATAAATATTTTTGAGAGTTTCTATGGTAGAACCAGAAAAAATAAATTACCAATAGTTCTTTACTTTCAGCCGTTAAATTTGTATCAAAAATTATATGTTATGTGTACTTTTCACATATGTTTTTAGACTCTTACTCGGTCCCTACTTTCACGTACGTATTACATATTTAATGTGATACCTTGGATTTGTTCTTTCAATGTTAGTTAGTAATAATTATTAGGATTACTAATTATAAAAATTCCTCCCAAATTATGACACTTGTAATATTTTTCTTCATGTTTTAAAATGTAACATCTGTTGAACGACAACAAAAGATTCCCTACTGTTAGCGTCTCTAATGGAACCGACACTTGTCACACAATATATTGATTGTTCTTAAAGAGTTTGTTGCACAAATAATCTTCTAACTGTTACTTAAATTTACATTTCTTAAAAACATATTTTAATTTGCATTTAATATGATAATAAATAAAACAAAATGTTTAATCTTACTCTTCTTATTGATTAATTAAATAAAACTCTTTCAGCAAAAATTAAATTAAAGCTAATAATTCTTGAATTTACAATATATTTTTTTAACTTAACTCACAATATATTTTTAATAACATTTTTCAAAACACCAACATTCTAAAAAAAATGTTTATATATATAGTATAGTATATACTACATATAAATTAGAATTAAAAAATATTTTTGTAAGATTTAATATTTTTTATGATTTAATCTTTTCTAAGAATCGATAGGATTAAACATCCATGTATCGAGAAGAAAAAAAAAAATATCGAATCATGATATACTCATATAGAACAAACTTAAACAATATATCAGAAAATAAATTTGAGAAATCTAATACGTTTTAAGAAAAATGTGCTCCTAATAAAGGAAAAACTTTCAGATTTCTTCAATAATAACTAACTGATGAGGGGGTTAAACCCTCGTAGAGGCAATCCTTTAGTATTTAAAATTATATTTAGTCTGTCACGTGGGACTCTAAAATATGTATTAGTCTAGAAATTCTTTGTGAATAGGTAATATTAAAAAGGGTATTTTAAAAATCTCCAAATAATTTACGAGATGACCCAGAGAGAAAGACACCATTTTATTAGCTGCCTTCTCTACAAATAGGTGTACTTAGTACGTGCTTTCACTTATTTATATTGAACAATCAACGTGTTTTTATTTAGTTTTTTTTTATTTTTTTATTTAAATGCATAATCGTTTCCCTTACCTATAAAACTTCCCACATACTAAAATAGTGCAGACAACAGTATTTTAAGGTTTAAATTGTAGTCCAATTAGTATAGTTCAGCACTTTTAAGGTCTAAATTCCAATCCAACTAAAGCTAATTACAAATCAAATCGAATTGCATTGAGTGTTGAACTTCTCAATGAGGGTTGGGATTCAAGCTAATACTAGGTGCAAACATGCTGTTACCGTACAACATAATCATGTTTATTGTTTATCACAAAAAATGACGAATTTAGAAACTGAATTTAATGGGTGCGCATATTAAGAATTTTCCATTGAAAATGCTTCATATTGATAAAATGTATACTTTATTGGGCAATAATTAATCATTGTAAAAGAAAAGGAACGTGAGAGACAAGAAAAATAAATATAAATTAAGAGAGTTAAATAACCAGACTATATGCGGAAAACGAAAAAAAAAAGAAAAAGAAAAAAGAATACCAAACATCATTGAAGAGTGAGGAAATCTAGTTTAAGGGGAGAAAAGAAAAAATAGTGGCAGCAAGTGCTCCGCAATTTCCTCTGTCTATCTCTCCTCCTTTTCTCTGCCCTGCGAAGGAAGAAACCCCACTTAACACTGAAGATCTCTGAAAGGAAAAAAAAATTCACTTTCTTCATTTGACCGTGCGTTTCTGTAACTCTCTATGGTAAGCAATCATCATTTGCGCTTTTGTTATCATTTCTTGATAACAAATTCCGCGAGTACGTGTTTATTCATATCCATTTTATTGTTAAGACTAGTGATTTCCTTTTTAATTACCATTTGTAACTAAACAGTCTAAAGAAAAGCTTCCCCAAGTGTTTTTGATCTGCTAACTTTTATGAATTATTATTCTCCCCTCTAAAAAGTGTTGAATTTGTGCCGTGTGATTTCATTCGTTTGTGTTCTAAAAGCTCATATGATTCAAGAACTGTCCCGAGAAGTTGTACTTGCGTACTTCTCTGCGAAGAATGGAGCTTAAGCTAGAAATTTTTTCAGCTACAAACTGGTTTTTAGGATTTAAGGGAATTCAAAAAACCGAGCGACAATACAGTTGCGGAAAGGGTGAAAAACCGATGACAAGTTCAGATGGTTCGAGCTCGAAAAAGGGTTTGCCAATGAGTTGTTCAAGAGTCGAGGATTGTGGTGATTCGTCAAAAGGAAAGGCAATGATGTGGGGCAGTGAAGTTGAAGAGCTTAGTGAGAGATTGAAGATTCTTGAAGAAGAGACTCAGATTATGGAGGAAGCATTTTTTGGGAGCTTGGAAGAAAGGAAAATACAATGAATGAGATATTAAGCAATTTCAGCTATTACAAGGCTGCCTTCAACGAAAAAAGCATCTAGTAATAAAAGAAAGTTTTTATGTCAACCCTTCTGAGGTAATGCCCTCCTCTTCTTTTGTGTAAAGTGTTGGTTTCTCAAACCAGATTTTTAAAAAAAATTGTTCGGAAACGTGGTGTCGATTGAATCACATAAATCAAAATTTAATGCAATTATTATTTCATATTAATTTAACTATAAAGATATTAAAGAGAAGAATGAGAAAAACGGGAAACCACCTATTGTTATCACTCACTTTTCTTAAAAGTATGTGATGACACTCACAAAATTTTCTTTGGTTTTTCTTTTGTTCTCCCGTTTTTCTTTTTTCCTTTTCTCTGAAAAAAAACCTTTTTTATTTTTCTCTCTCATTTTTGGAAAAACTTCACCCACCGAAGAACTTATTCCTCTAGCTCTTGTTATGTGCAGCCGCACATCCTCCTTCTGAGGAAACATGCAACAACACGTTTCTTCCCACTCTTTCTATTTTTTTTTTAAATGAGGAAACGTGCTGCTGCACGTTTCCTCTTTTATATATATATGTATATTTACACATTAACAGGGAGAGTGAAAAGGGAGGAAACGTGGAGAGTAAAAGAAAATTCTCTTTTTATAAAAAAATAATTAAATTCATCCAAATTAATTTAAAATAATTTTAAAATAATTTTAATATTAATTAATCAAATTAATTAATATATGTGTATTTAGAATTCTTAATTCTAAATTAATAATCATAACCCAATATAATATATTCAGTTCACATTAATCTTATGGAGCCATTGAGAGGAACTATGGACATTATAATTTTAAGCTCCAATAATTTTGACAATTAATTAACACCTTAATTAATATATCAAACTTATTAATTCCAAATTACTCCACTATAAATTTGGAATTGCACTCGTAAAATAATAAAACAATTATGTTCACGGAATTTGTGTTGTTCATTGATATAGTCACTACATACGAATTAATCCTCCATAAACGATTCATAATTAAAGCTATGTATTTTCCGTTAACCGCTTTAATTATATCTTTCTCCATAAGTACCATTGATCCTCTAATGAATAATATATTTTATGATCCAATCACAAAATTGAGCGCTCTTATTATTCAAGTCCCGAATCAACACTTATAGGAACCGACCATATACTTCATTATGAAGGAATGGATTTCATCTTGTAAATTAATATTCTCGGTTATTTATTTTACTATGCTCCCAATATACCAAGACTTTGACACTATTCACATGTGTCATTACTCAATATGTCAAAGAACATAATATCATAAATATGAGTTTATTAATTACTCAGAATTAAGATTAATTCATATATGACCATCATTGATTAATATTGAATACTCTATTTAATAACAGAATTTATAAGAGATTCATAATTAATCGTGTTCCGGTCCTATGTAATCATATTACATAAAATGGTTTCATTCCAATAATCTCATTATTAACATTCTAGGATAAGATTATTTCATTCAGAATGTAATGAACCGCATTAGTAATTTTAAATTAAAGATCCCAACATTAATTTATAATTACGGACAAGTTTAGATTATTTTATTTCAACATTATCCTCTGTATATAATAATTATATACAATGTTTAAAGTTACATCAAAAAATAATCTAGGGATTTTGATATTTATAAAACATCACATGTATGCAAAATAATATTGAAGAAATTCCTCATTTCATTGATAATCAGCAAAATATTTACATTTTATTTGATTTATGGGAATATATCCCAACAATCTCCCAGTTGCCCTAAAGTAAATGAGGCATGTCTCTAAGTCTCATACTTTCAAGATGTCTCTCAAAACTCCCAGCTGGTATTGTTTTGGTAAACGGATCAGCTATGTTGTTTGCGGATGCGATCTTTTCAATTGAAACGTCTCCTCTAGTAACAATCTCTCTGACCAGGTGGAATTTTTACTCTATATGCTTTCCTTTGCGGTGGTTCCTGGGCTCCTTGGCATTTGCCACTGCTCCACTGTTGTCACAATAGAGTATGATGGGCTCATGCATATTTGGAACAACTTTGAATTCCTTCATAAATTCACGAAGCCAGACAGCTTCCTTAGCTGCTTCATAAGCTGCTACATACTCAGCCTCCATGGTTGAGTCAGCAATACAAGATTGCTTGATACTCCTCCATATGATGGCTCCATTTCCCAAAGTGAACACTGCCCCCGAGGTGGACTTGCGAGAGTCCCTATCTGACTGAAAATCAGAATCAGTATATCTAATAGGAATCAAATCCCTACCAGAGTATACAAGCATATGGTTTCTCGTCCTCCTCAAATATTTAAGTATGTGTTTAACTGCAACCCAATGATCTAATCCTGGGTTTGACTGGTATCTGCTAACCAACCCTACTGCATAGCATATGTCAGGTCTAGTACACAGCATTGCATACATCAAGCTACCAACTGCCGATGCATAGGGAACTCACCTCATATCCTCTTCCTCTTGAGGTATCTTTGGA